GCTCGGTGGGGAGCCTGCTTCTCCCTCTGACCCTCCCCCCTCTCATGTGCTCTCTCATTCTCTCTCTCTCAAATAAATAAATAAAATCTTTAAAAAAAAACAAAGGTAGGTTTCTGTTGGACTTAAAAACAAAACAGAACTCAGAGCGCCTGGCTGGCTTAGTCAGTAGAGCATGCAACTCTTGATCTCAGGGGTTTGAAATCGAACCCCATGTTGGGTGGAGAGATTGCTTAAAAATAAAATCTTTGAAAAATAAAACAAAACAAAAAATACACAACCAAAAAAACTAATTTCAAACATATGTTTTCATTAGCCAAAAAAATTTATACAACTGTCTGAACAAGAATTATGTTTTCCACAAAATGGTGAATAAACTTAAATTTAAAACATTGAATTATAGTGGTTAAGAGCCCACACTTAAAAAACCAAAAAACTTTTTATGAAGGAAAATCATGCACAAAAAGAGACCACAGGATGGTGAAGTGCCACATACGCATCACCCAACTTCAAGCAGGTACCAACGTGTGGTCAACCTCGTTTCATCTGCACCTGGCCCACTTTCCCCCAAACCTCTGTGGATTATTCCAAAATAAACCCCAGGCTTCACATAATTTCATTTATAACCATTTCAACACTTCAAAAGGCACAGACTTTGAGTCAGATAGACCTGGTGTCAAATCCAGGCTCTACCAACTAATGGCTTTGTGAGCCTGGGCAAGTGACTGAACTTCTCTGAGCCTGTCTTCTACCTGCAAAATGGGGATAGTAATCCTGACTTCGCAGGAGTACAGTACAGATGAAATGAAATAAGCTATCTGAAGAATGGAGCCTAGCGCTGGCCCGCAGGAAACAGTGGATATGGTAGCTGCGGTTATTATGACTGTACTAGCAAAGTAAGACAGGACTCTTTCTGCCTCATTTCCAAGGAGCCCCACAAAGGACAAAGCAAAGAGCAAGTATATGCATATTTTAAAAAGAGATGCTAACCTCTCTATGCTAAACTTACAGAGACTAACAAAAAAACTGATGATTTATGACCCTCTCAGCCCAACACTGACCTCTAGGAGTTTAAGGAAAAGAGGTCCAGAAGAGCTCTTTGGATAAAACTGTAGTGCTATGGGGTTTCAAGCACCCTCCACGGGGAAGGGGGGGACGGGACGGGACTATTTTCCTGTCACCCTAAACCAAGAGAAAGGGAGTTTTAAGAGGGGCCCCTAGAGAGTGTGAGTGACCACCCCTAGAAATTGTAGGGGACAGAGACTGGTGTCTGACCCACACCTGATAAAAGCCCCGCATGGAGAAGCAGGAAGGGGCAGCCTGGGGTGGCTGTGTGGAAGGCCTGCCCCGGACGCAAGCAGTACTTCCTGCAACGGCAAAGAGGAGCCCCCTCTCGCCAGGGCTGGCTTCCCAACCTAAGGCAGGCCTGAGATGGGGAAGGGAAGATTTACTTTTTTAATCAAGTTCAAAGGGGACATTTTAAGTACTTAAAAGAGACTCTTGTAACTTAAAGTGATATAAAAATTTATAGAATATCTATATATAAGATAGGTGTGTACGTGATATGATATTTATAGAATATATATTTCATCCAGAAACAATAAAAGAACAGACAGAATGAGTTCAAAGAACTGAGAGAAAAAAACTAAGTTTCCCATGATGTTCAGCACCTTCAATATAATAGTTACATTATATGTTCAAAAGCTGAGCAACAGCAGAGTGAGGAATGCCATCATAAAGATTAATGAAATGCAGATATTAGTACAAATAATAAACTGTACGAAGTGTATATCAAATATTAAACTATGTCACTTCTAAACAGAATAAAATTTCAAGGCATATAAGAAAAGCTGCTCTTTTCATCTCTTTTTTCATTTATAACCACAGCTAAGCGATGCTTCCATCAAGGATTCTACCCACTTCTTCCCAAAAGAATGGAACAGGGGGGAAGAAGTGAAAGGTGCTCAAGACATAGGACAGAAACAAAAAGTGGAGAGATGATCATGTGGCCCAAGGTTACCGATCCAGGGACAGAAACTCCATGCACAAGGTACCGTGTTAAGCACTAGAATAGTACTTAAAGGGGCAAAGCAGGTTTTCTGCCCTTAAAGGAATTTGGATTAGATACGTAGCAACAGCAAGAAATGAACGTACACAGTCTTTAGGGGGTGGGAGAAGAAACACAACACTGAGACTAGCCCAAGGCCCAGTAAAGAATTCTTGTGAAGGCTACTGTGAAGTCAGGAAAAGCTAATTCATGGTTGTTTTAAAAATTCAAATCTTAAAATAAAATAAAAACTTACATCTTAGTCAACCCACTATAATGAGATATTCTATAGATTCTGAAGCCTTGCTACGCTGGTTTTGAAAGCTCATTCCAGTTAAGATCAATATTTCTTAAGGGGGAGAGTTATTCGTTACTTTCAAAAAATGGAAACACTAAACTGACCTTTCTAATAAAAAGTGTGATCGCTGTGATTGCATCTTGAATTATAAGCAGGCACAAATTCATTCTTGGAAAATAGTAAATGCCACAGAAGAGCTACCCCTGCGTCAGTTACAGAGTATCCAAACAAATGAGATTCTTCAATGGCAATAATGACATCCTTGTGCCATCCACGTGTACAAACATAGGTTACAACCCTCTTCCCCACAGCTTATGGCGTGTATTCTAGACAACCCAGCTCTGTTTCAGCACTAACCATGACCTAAATTAGCCACAGAAGATGCTGTGTACAGTTAACAGAGGCTTCAGATTCATTTTCAGCAGACACACATCCAGTGTGTTACCTAAGGTTTGCTGGGGCTCTCAAGACACAACTGATAAGACTATTTCTTGTCAGATTGATAATGATGAAAAGTTAAGTCTCAATGTCAGTTCTCACCTACAAAAACTGTTTGAGTAATTGATTACCATGTAAGTCAACACAATCAAATTTATTTCTGGTTATGCAATCACAGAACTGATTACTTTTCAAATAAAAATGCAGAGAACCAGATTACTTCCCAGAGTAAAAAGTAGCAACTGTGTGAGTGTGTGTGCACGCACACATACACAAACACACACACACACACACATACACACACACAGACACGGCGGTTTTGCCAGTTTTCCATCTGGAAACCATGATGTAACAGGATAATCGCAAACTCATTCTCAATGCTTAAATCTGTGAATAATGCGCAGATCATCTAACGTGACTTAAGTAAGAAATTATGACGGCATGTAACTCAAGTTCAACAACCAGTCATTTATAGTAGGTTGATTTTTCAAGGTAATCTTTTGGGATTCAAGAAATATCTTAGAAGGCAAGGAAGAAATAACATGAGAAAAAAACAAAGCAGTTTCTTTCCCACCAAAAAGTTAAGAAAGATCGATTTTTCAAAGGTAGTAGCTCTACAATCTTATGAACAACAATCCTTCAAAATAAAATACAGCTACCCTAATCCAAGTGGATTGATAAAAAGGTATCTTTCATTTAACTATAATTCATTTTTAGAATTAGAATTATTATCTACCTTAAAAGAATCTACTTCAAACTCTACTTTTTCCCCCCAGGATAAGAAGGCAACGGGTTGGGCGCCTGGGTGGCTCCGTTGGTTAAGCGACTGCCTTCGGCTCAGGTCATGATCCTGAAGTCCCGGGATCGTGTCCCACATCGGGCTCCCTGCTCAGCAGGGGGTCTGCTTCTCCCTCTGCCCTCTTCCCTCTCGTGCTCTCTGTCTCTCATTCTCTCTCTCTCAAATAACTAAATAAAATCTTTAAAAAAAAAAAAAAAGGCAACGGGTTACACAGAAGTCAAAGAAAAACATAGGTGTACACCTCTAGGAGGGACAAAACATTAGAGATGGGATTCTTCCTTTTAAGCCAATGATGTTACCTGGGTGGTAAAGGGAAGAGCTTCCTTACTTTCCCCTTCTTATCCTAAAGTCTGGAAACTAAGCCCCAGAAGTACCTTTATCTAAGGACAAAGGAATGACGAGACTCCCAGGAAAGAATATAAGAATGACCATAAAGGATGGAAAGCTACTTCTAAATAAATGTGCCAGAACTACGATGCTATTACCTTCAAAGTCATTACCTTGGAAATTATATACTTAATCCAATGACGCTGTGACAGTCACTCTGGAATTTGGTTCAGAGCTCAGAATGTTCCACATCCTTAAAACTAGTTAATCTTTGTCTTTTCAGGTTAGATTTGGCAATAGTCAAAAGTCCTCAGAGTAGCTGTGCTTTTCTTTGGAAAGTCTTTCCTGACCTCCCAAGTCCAGGTTCTGTGCCCCCTACCCAGGGATCACTTCGTCCCCTGGCAGAGCACCTTTCACTCTACAATGGAATTGCTTACTTGTCAACAGTCCCCCGGGAAAACAGTAAACTGCACAGAAACAGGGAATATATCTTATTATTTATTACACCCACAATCCTAGCATAGTGCCCAGAAAACTGCAGGCCTCCAATACTGAATGATGCGATCCACTATCATACAAAATGGTTTGGAATACAGTGTCTATCTTCTCTACTGATCCTTCCAGCATCTCTCTGGAAAGAGTACCACACCTCACTGTGTGACTACCTACAGAGAAGAACTATTACTTTATATACCTGGGGAGAGAAGTGATTGCATTTGATGATTTTCATTACTCATTTATGCACAGAAAAGCAAAAATCACGACATCCTCACAGACTAGTAACTTTTCCACTCTCAAATCTGCAAGCACAAGAATATCTTACCTAGTTGCAATATCTTTATAGTGTCTCTGTAGGCTTTCATCACCAACTTGAAGTGGCGATAAAGTGGGTAGCACAAAACTCGTCTTCCAAAAGACACCAGGATTTCATGAACATTAGTCCAAGTCTGTGAAGTAGAGTTTAAATAAGTAATCATTTCCATATTACATAAGCAAAAGGACACAACAAAATATGAAACTACTCTCAATTAACAACTCTAAGCTTGGATCATCATGAAGCCACGCAAGAAATACAAAACCATGAAATGAGATTCTTTTTATATACCTTACAATAAAATACTTAATTGACGTCTTTGTCATTTCTCATACTTTATCAAGATATCACAAATGCTCCTTAAAAATCACATATGCAGCAGGAAAGTTTTAAAAAGTCTTTTAAGAACTACAAATATGAATCTAAAACACATGGCACTAACAAAATGCAGATGCACATAAAAGACATTGTTAAATGATATATGTTTCATGTTTTTGTCCTTTAGGACCATTCAAGATAGTGTAGATGAAAGATGTGGAACTTGTCAGTGAAGTGTGTTCACAGTCTCCCTCTTCTTCTTCTTTTTTTAGTCCTTTGGGCGTGAGTAATACATGGTAAATACATGGTATTTACTTCAGTAATTTGCTTTCACTTACCAAAGAGAAAAGTGATTTCTTGAAAAAAAAGTGTTTTATCTTGAAAAGTATCAAACAGAAACCATCAGCAATTCAAAACTTACACCGCTAGACAAAGGCAGTTTTGCGCAAAATTGTTTTTTAATTGGATTTTGGTTAAAACTGTATTAAAAATGTAACCCATATATAAAACTTAAAATATAACAAGTAAAACTAAGGGAGCAGAATAATTTCCATGTGTATTAATCCTTAATGAATGAGAGACCTGATTAAGAATATTGAGTATCTGACAAAGAACAGCTTCTATCTAAAAATAGAATTATAAACTTTCTAAAACCTCTACCAAAAACTAAATACTTTTAAAAGTTTCACATAGCTCTTAACATCTCTGGCGATTCTAAAGTTATCTCAAAAACAATAAAAATTTCAAATTAAAATCATAAATAGGTGAACTTATTCATGTAGATTTTAATAACTTGAACTATGAAATTATTTAGTCACCAACTACTTTGTTTTCAACCTAAGTAACCAATGCAATCATTACAAAAACCAGTTTCTCCATTATATGCTGATCATGGCAATAAGGAGAACCCAAGTGAAGTCTAGAGAGCAGTGATCCTCCATCTTTAATATGCATATGAATCCCTGGAGACCTTGCTACAGTTTCTGCTTCAGTGGGTCTGGACTGAGATTCTGTCTTTCTAACAAGCTCCCAGCCCAGGATGCTGGTTCACGGAACATTCTTTGGAGTAGCAAAATTCTCTGACAAAGCTGAATGTCTCAATTCCTGTTCACATCTATTGTTTGAACAAAGTGATGCCATGAAACAACTCTGATTTAAAACTTAACCTTACTGTATTTAGGATTTAAACTGGGAAAAAAACCCAAAAACCTAGTTGACTAAATTAATGATACAATTATCAGCTATTTAAATTGACACTTTTTTTTTAATGCTAGCTTTTCATTCTTTCTCTCTCTTTTTTTTTTTAAAGATTTTATTTATTTATTTGACAGAGAGACACAGCGAGAGAGGGAACACAAGCAGGGGGAGTGGGAGTGGGAGAAGCAGGCTTCCCGATGAGCAGGGAGCCCGATGTGGGGCTCGATCCCAGGACCCTGGGATCATGACCCGAGCCAAAGACAGATGCTTAACAACTGAGCCACCCAGGCGCGCCCCCCCCCCCTTTTTAAGGTAATCTCTACATCCACCATGGAGCTTGAAGAGATGACCGCAAGATCAGGAGTCATATGCCCCACCAAATGAGCCAGCCAGATGCCCCTAAAATGACACATTCTTCAAGTTTCTAATTACTGTTGTGATGTTCAACAATTTGTTCAGAGCTAGTATATTTTAAAATCGCATCCTTTGATAAGACTTACACAACTATTTTCTATGAAACAGATATAAAAACAATGATTACTATACTAGAAGGGTTATCAGCTCTGACCATACTAATTGCAGGACCTAAGATAAGTTATTTAAACTATATAATCTGAGTTTCCTCATCTGTAAAATAGCAATAATACTTCTCTCACAGACTTACTGGAAGGAACAGGGGAGGTAATATATATAAAAGGCTTAACACGGTTCTTGATGGTCAGGAAATGGCAGCTAGCAGAATTATCACCTAGGTTTGCTGCCCAACTTTGAGCTCTGAGCCCCAATATATGCCAACTTACAAACAGGCTCTAACTCCACCCTACCTGCTCCCCCAACAGACCATGTGTGGTTCTTCCTCCAAAGTGTGTTCTCCTTCTCCCAAATTCCACAACACCCTACCTAGCTTCATTCGTATACTATGATTAGCAGAAGAGTTACAAATGCAATCAAAATTTTATTAAAAAGATGGAAAAAACACTTGTATAAAAAAGTTTCCACTTTTAAAAAGTCAAGTAATTACTTGAATTACCCAAAATGAATGGCAACAGAAACATCACTTTTTAAACAAAACCTAAAAAATTGGAACTGAAAATCATACCTCAAACCAGCACAGTGTGGGACTCAGTTTTCTAATATTCCATGCAGATTCGACCTTTATTTGTTTTGGAGAAAAGAGTATTGTCATTTTAGAGGTAAAGTCATTCCAAAATAAAGCAAATATACCCATTTATTCAACTAGTATCTCAGTAGCATTGACATATAGAACTAAGAAGCATCATGACTGAGGAAAAATAATTGCTTTGCAGAAGCTATCAAAGGCAAGTTTCTGCCTACTTTCCTTGGGATTTCACAAAGTAAAGCTCTTCCACTGATAAGGGTAGCAGAACATAAGAGCAAATAAGCAGGGGCTTTGAAACTAAAAATTAAAGCAAAGCGATGCTTCCTCAATTTCTGTCCCTTCTCAACTAAGTTACTTCCCAAACATTCTGTGAATAATCTGCCAAAGGACTCAAAGATAATGTTGAAGTGCTGACTGGGGCACTTAAAAAGCTGCTCAAGAATTTGGCCTTTCAGAAAATGCTTGTGAGAGAATAAGTACATTCTAGAGGTCTTGAAGTTGCAAGACTTCATGATGTCAAATATGCGAAGAATCAAAAATGGTAAATTTTATCGAGCATAACTAAACACCCTCACTCATATCCTTAAGCAATAATGTGAAGTACTTTCTTTGTCAAAGAAAATATTTTCTCCAATTATGGTATCCTTAAAAGATGAGTGGAAACAAAAACCATCTCCAGCTATATTATACCCCTGATACACTCGTTAATATTCATTTTAGAGTCAAATGCAAATCTCAAGAGTCACCTTTGAAATTTTCAGAATCATAAAACAGAAAATTTGGCACATACCAAATAATAATCCTAATACTATGCTAATGCTACGATGTTGAGAAAAGCAGATTAAATAATATACATCACGACCCAATTTAAATACACATACACACAAGTACACAATGAAAGACTGGAAGAGATGTATCTCCTCATAACACTAGCTATTTCTGATTGGCTGAGATTACAGGAAGTTTTAATTATTTTCTTCATATGTGTATTTTTCCTTTTATACTGATATGAATTATCTGTGCAATTTATAAAAAAGGAAAGCATATACTCAGCTGGAAAATAACCCTTGAGCAAGTACAATTATAAACAGCTGCAGGGGCACATTAACTGGAAAGACTTTTTTTGGCTTTGCAGCCTTTTTTAAATATACGATCACTGATATAGGTAAGAAAGAAGCTTAGCTCTTCATTTACAAAATCAAATGTGGGCTAAGAAGAGATACAACAAATTTTGTATTATTAAAAAAAGATCATTTAAGAAATAATGTACTTTATAAAAGGCTTTACTTTTACAGGATTTCTTTCAATAGCAAAAAAAGATATGACTCAAGTTTTTAAAAATGTGATTTACATATAATTTTTTCAGAAGCATACCTACTGTATAAATTAAGGGAGACCTACGGATAAATGCTCAGATTCCCTTTCTCTGTAAAAAGCTTGCATCTGCTAATGGACAGCTTGGACAGAGGATATAAATGGGAATGGTAAAGTTTACCTCTTGTCAATGTCAAGTGGAAACAGCTCTCTTCTTTGGCCAACTCATCTCCTAAAGAGATGAGAGCTCAGGATAACCTTTCTCTACCCTCAGCTTTATTGCCTCGCTCTGCTACTTGGTAGACACTGACGCCCAGAGAGAAGAAAAAAAATCAAGCAAGCATTATGCGTTCACGTTGGTACTCCCCACCGACACACATGTGCAGCTCTGCCAGGAGCACCCCCTGAATAACTAATCACAACAGCTCTTACTCTCGACAGGAGGAGTGATGCCTTACAGTTTATTTAGTCTGGTCACTTATGCCAACATGCAGAGACATACAGGCACTTACATTCTTCTCTCCTTCAGTGACACGAGTTTCATAGCAATACGCCAGAAGGATATCAATCAAACTGTAGTACACTTGGCGATGAGCTCTCTTGTCCAGTAGGTAAGATTTATTGACAAATTTTCGTAGCTGGTATTTCTCTTCTTCAGAAAAAGACACTACGGAAAAAAATGCATTTAAAAATTAAACGTTCCATTCAGTTTTGTAAAACCCCCAGTGTGGAGGATTTGTCAAAATTAGAACTTCGATTATAGAAACTGAAATAGGAGTTATTTAATTCTGAATATAGAAAGAACTTTTAAACTAGACTTCACAGTTTTACTAAGGGCTGTGCATCTGCTCAAACCCTAGTAGAGCTAAATAAAGGAGAAATGTCTAAACAATATCTCTTATTTCCAAGATGCCCCTTTTTTGCTACACTGTCCTGTATTCAAGGCATCTAAATGCTGGAGCTACTAACTTTAAAATAAAGATAAGACAGTTCAAGAACAGAAAACATAACAGCCAAGTAAAGCACTCTGTAGATATTCATTATCCACTTTGAAAGTTCTACACAAAGAAATAAGAATATTCCCATATAATAGTCAACGTAAGGGCAAAGTATACTGATATTCTTTATACACAGAAACAAAGTGTTACATCACACATATTTAACTTGAGGGAAGAGGATGGTTCCTTTCAACAGTGTGTCTTTTCTTCTTTGGCTTGTCACCGTTTCTCCATCTTCATTGACAGCCTTCCCCACATTAAAAATCTAGTATATATCATTTCATATTTCTATTATCATATAATGTTATACAGACACACAAACATATACAAGGGAATTTAGACCTCACCCACCCCAACCCCTGCCAAGGAATTAGATCATTTTTCTCCATCTCGCCTACCTTACTCAGGATCTCTGGCAAATCTCTCCAAGTCAATTGGTACTTAGCTAATTTTTGTAAAGGAGTAGAATATTCCATGGTGTAGTATGCTCTATCCAACCACTCCCCCTACTGATGGGCATCCACTATGCTTCCAGTTTTCTGCACTGTTAATAACGCTGCATAAATGTCCTTACCCCATGTCCTTGGATACTGAAGCTTTATTTCTATAAAATAGATTCCCAAGAGTAGATTCACTGGGTTAAAAAGTGCATCTGTTTTAAAAAAAATACTTCATTTAGAGGGTACAACTCTCCTTCTTTTTAACAGTCATGGACACAAGTGCTCTTTCCTACACACATCCCTCACACCCAGCTATAAATTTAAGAGCTTCTCCTACTTGTTTCCAGTTTAACAGATAGGAAGTGACTGTGGTAGAAAGAATTCTAAGATGAGACCCACTGAATCACATCATTTGAATGTGGGCAGAACCTGTGACTTGCTTCTATCCAAAAGAATATGGTAATGGTGATGGGACAGTCACTACCATGATTATGTCCCAGTAAGATTAGACTGGACCCAGAGACTCATCGCTGGTTTTAAAGAAATATGATGCCATGTTGTAAGAGGGCTGTGTGGCAGCAAGCTGTGGGGGGCTCTGAGATCAGACAGTGGCCCCCGGCTGACAGTCAGCAAGGACATGGGGACCTCAGTTCAACAGCCGCAGGAATTGAATTCTGCCAGCTATCATGTGAGCCTGGAAAAAGACTGTGAGCTCCAGAAAAGAACTTAGCTACCAAAACATACTAAAAAAGAAAAGAGAAGAATAGCCAAATTTATCTACAGCCAGATAAGATCCTGAGCAAAGACCCAGCTAAGTAAGCCCGAGTCCTGAGCCATGGAAACTGAGTCAAATTAGAACAGTTTCTAATTTGTGGTAATTTGTTATACAGCAAGAGAAATCTAATACAATGACAGATCACTGTTACTGCAGCTAGTATTTTTCTAAATGCTAAACTTTGAGCATTACTTTATAGGTTTGTTGGCAACCTGTGAATGAACCATTTAAATGTGTTTTGCCCATTTTTTTCTATTGGATGGCTTGTCTTGTCCAATTTTTAAGAACTCACAGTTATAGAAAGACACCTTGTCATATCTCCAAATCTACAACATCCCCATTGACTTTGTCTGTGGGATCTTTTGCCAATGAATTATTTATTTTTTGTGTAGCCAAATATGTGCATCTTTTTTAAAAAACAGATTATGAATTTACAGCCTTTGATAAGATTTCCTCAACCCCTTAATTGTACACGAAGCCTCTCAGCTTTTCTTTTTGTGTGTGGTTTTTTTTTTATTTACTTGAGAGAGAGACAAAGAGAAAGAGTGGGCACATGCACAAGAGCAGGGAGAGTGGCAAAGGGCGAGAGAAAAGCAGACTCCCCTCTGAGCAAGGAGTCTGATGTGGGCTCGATCCCAGGACCGAGATCATGACCTGAGCTGAAGACAGACACTTAACCGACTGAGCCACCCAGGTGCCCCTCTCATTTAAGATTTACGGTTTCCTTTTTAAAATATAAGTCTTTAATCCATCTGAAAGTTACTTTTTCATGTTTTAAGATTTCGGCTAATTCCAGATGAATAGTTAATTGTGCCACCACAGTCTGGTCAGTAATCCATCTTTTCTCACTGTACTGAACCACCAACTTTATGAAATAGATGTGCTGCTTTTCTTGCTAAAAATTACTTCCAAGCATTTTCAGCTTTTGTGACTTGTAAATACATTTTTCCCCATTTCCAGTAAGTTACCGAGAGGAGAGAGAAAATCTATTTCTTTTCACATACCATCCTGACCAATGTTTGGCTACCCAGACCAAAAAATTAAAGTACTGAATAAACGCTAATGATAAAAAAAAAAAAAAAAGTTATGTCTACACTGGTAAGGTAAGCAAGTGTAAGACTGAAGTTCCTTCTAAGTTTCCTTTGATGTCTACAATACAGGCAAGCCAACAAGTATCTATTTTCTCACATTAAAACGAACATTATCGGTTACCATACATACGAAGTAAAATACATCTTGTCTTAAAGCAAGATTTACAGAAAGAGTTAACAGATAAGTACGTACATGTACTCAGTTCCTAGCTAGTATAAGTAAAACATGGCCTACTACTTGTCTTCGAGTGACTTCTACAGAAACTCAACCATCCGGTATTTTTAAGTTACTTCCAAATAAAAATTTTATTAATCTCTTATTTTGAAAAGTAATCCTTAATTTTCCTTCCATGCCCTATCAGACAATCACCTTCAAATTCACTTAAAAAGTTTTTAAGCCTGATAAAGAGGAGCATCCAGCTTCCAGTTCCAGGGCTTCCTATCAACCTAATCCCAAAATAACTTTAAAAGGCTCTTTCTCCAGGGTTTAGAATTGCCCATTATATTTAGGTAAGGACAGGCTAAACTGCTAACCAAAAAGAACCCAAAATACAGTGACTTATATAAGATAGATATTTCTCTCCCACGTTATTCTGAGTGAATGATCCAGGACTGGTGAAGCATCAGTATCCCATCATATGACTTCCATCTATGCATCTAAGAAAGCTGCTCCAGGTTTTTACCATTTTCTAAGCAATGGGAAAGCAGAGTAAGATGGCAATCACCTTCTTTCTAAAGACCTGATCCAGCGCACATAGCACTTCCACTCATTTCCCATCACCCAGGACTTAGTCACATGACTACACCCAGTGGCAAAGAAGGAAAAGAAAAGGTAGTCTCTAGGGCAGTCACTACCTGAGCACTCCTATGCCCAGCTCCAACTCAAGAAGCCTCTCAGGGGAGGAGGACTAACCAAAGACACCTGGCTGGCTGTGATACTAACTTTTAGGAGTCCAAAAATTATTAAATCGCCTTTTTTTTTTTTTTTTAATTTTAAGTAGGCACCACGCCCAACGTGGGGCTCAAACTCATGACCCTGGGATCAAGAATCACACACTCTACCAATGGAGCCAACCAGGCGCCCCTAAATTGCCTTTTTAATATTCCCAGATCACCCTCTCGATAGCTAGCTACCCCATCCCTTTCTATCTCTGCTCAACAAAAACTGCCCTTCTGCTCCTCACAACTGGGTAAAAGCCAGAAGAGACAGAATATGATTACTGACACATGCTGGCCCCTTCTCACAGAGTTCCCTAACCCACTTCAGTCCTCTCTTAGGAGCCTTCCCCTTAACATGGCTTCTTTTTGTTTAAAGGCTTCCTTCCAGCAGTTTTACAGTCTGTCCTCTGGGGGAAAGAATCTTAAATACAGTTATTGGAAATTACTAGAAGCAATACTCCTTTAACTCATTAAAATTTACTTAATGCAAAAATACAGGTCTTGAAATATATATATGTAATCATTTTTTCAATGATGTTAGAAATCTTATGATTAAAAAGTTTAAGAAGATAAAGGAAATAAATTTGCAAAAGTGTTGCTTACATAAATGACAAATAACTATGAGAATGCATTTACGTAATTTGCTGGCCATAAAGAAATGTGTATGTACTTTTTTTTTTTTTTTTTT